CTGTGAGGATGGCGCGGCTGCGCGGCGCTTCGTTCTGTTGTGCAGAGGGTCAGATGTGATGGAGCCTGCTCGATGGCACCTAACAACAACAACACGGTAAAAAGTGAGCAGACCCACTATTAGCAAAGGTATTCGAAATGGCTCAAAATGCCATATTTTTAAGTGCCTAAGCACAGCAGCGTCATTAGGGTTAGAGTCACCCTTCCTCCCAGGGTCCATACCAGCCCATACAGAATTGTTCATAGTGTTTATGACCGGTTTTAATCGCACACTGAAAACCAGACGCACTGCCAGCAAGTGACTTCTGACTCTACAGGACAGAGGAGAGCCGCCCTTTGGGGTTTCCGGGACTAGGAATCATAAGGGCGCAGACAGCCTCCTCTTTCTCTCACAGACGGACTGGTTTGAATCACTGGCTCTGCTATTAGCATCTCAATGCACAGGCCACTATGCCGCCTGACTGCTTGTTAATCAATAATAAGGTCAAAAATATGGTTGCAAGTGATTTAAATGCCATACGGCTTAGATTATATGAATACTAAAAATAAAAATGTTTTGTAAAATCTTTCTACACTGAATCGCATTATTGGTTGACATTATTAGTAATGAGAGGAAGCCTGTTTCATTTTGCTCCTTTTCCTTTAATTACTACTTCATGCTCAGATTGACTCATATATACTAATTACCACAATATTGCAGCTAATCCCCACCCCACACCCCAAAACGAGGACAAAACCGGACCTGTGACAACAGTGGCAGCAGCCACAAAAATTCAGGGTTGCAGCACTTGCCGATGAAACCATGTAATCGCTAGCATCCTTGTAATTGAGTAACAAAGGCAGCTCTGACTGGAGCCCATTAAAAGGTTCAAAATTCCAGGACCAGTGGGGAGATAGTCATAAAGGTCAGTGGGCAGACCTGGAATTTTGTATGCTTTCTCGGGCTTTTCGTTTGTTTTCTCTTTTTACTCAATCTTTTATTTTCTTTTTGTTTTGTGTTATGGTTGTTTTGCCTACCTGTATAAGATAGGCAGGGGAAGCAAGCAATGGGACCAACAATTCTGGAGGGACTTGGGGGGTGGAGCAGTGAGCAAACAATGCCATAGACAGGGGAACAACTAGGGAATTAAAATCAACAACAAGGAGGACATAGAGATCCTGGTGGTGTTGGAGCTACAGCAATCTAGCTGAGAGGAATTAGTAAGAGGCAGAAAAAGGGTGAGAATGATGGTG